GTTAAGAGAAGGGGCGGGACATTTCCCAAACACACTCAAAGCGCTCGACCAATCACAACACACTGCTCCTGCTGACCAATCAGAGCACAGTGTGCTTTTCAGAAGGAGGGGCTTCACAGAGACAGGAAGTAAACAGAGCGTTACTGACAGACTGGGAAGAGAGGAGCCGCAACAATGGAGAATATGAGGAGAATAATCAACATTCAAGCAGGAAAACCTGTTCTAGTAGAGCCTGAAAACATCATCAAGACTGTAAAAGTCCAAAAGCAGATGTTTATCGCTTTCATACATCGTTACATCATGAAACCATAATCACCTGCAAACCAACTGAACTTCACACATGTGGTTATAATCTATAATTGTTATGATTTCTGTCGTACCCTGTCCATAGAGCTGGTTCCTGAGTTCTGTAAGGGGAGCGAGAGGTGCCTGAGGTCATGATGAACCGCATTAACCTACAAACACAAGAGACACACAGGAAGATGCATTACAATATATATATATATTCGTGCTGTTTAAAACCCTCATACTTTCCTCGGGTCATTTTTTGTTATTTTTTTTAATTGAGTGTTCATCGGAGGGGTCAAAGGCCCCAGGACTTTTGTAGCACTTGAACCACGAATACACACAAAAAAAGTAATAGATTCGAGGAGTTTTGTGGTTGAAATTTTAAAAAGTAACAAATCAGGTCAATTTGACCCCATTAGGAATTAATGGTATGCGAGGAATGCTTCAGTACACATAGAAAAACCTAAAAATGTTCAGAATTCAAACTAAATGTGCTTAAACTTGACCAAAATCATTATTTTATAATGTCTACGTGTGTATCTGAGCGCACACTGAAGTAACTGGCTTTAGGACCCAGCGGAACAGCTCATCTACTCCATATAGAGCTATAAGGCCATCTAGAGTCATGAAATATCATGTTATATTATTATTTTTTACACAAGAGGTCGGCAAAGACACACAATGTCAGATATTTTGAGCCGAATTAAAGGGTTTAGAAAACGCATAGGCTGTGATTATTGTTAATGTGCAGCGTGTCAGTGAAGCACGGCTCTGTAAACGCGGCTCACTCTGAAAGCACTGAGTTTGAGTCGCTTCTAATGTGCGTTCTGAAAAACACACGTCAAACATCTTTCCAAACATGACAAGCATTTATGAACCTCTTGTCCAACAAGACAACATTTAATAACATGCTTTTACTCCAAACTCACTTCATCAGGACAGTTGAGCTCGTCCTCCTGTGAGATGATGCGCTTCTCACACAGAATACGGCAGTCGTGTGTTTATTAGTCATTAATCAAAGCGTTTCAATCTTCTGTTTATTCAGATACAGCGATGGGGTTTCCTGGAATGATGTGTGTTATCGTACTTCTGCGGGGCATATTCGGCGTGTGTGTGTGTGTGTGTGAGACGCCCTCTGGTGTTCAGAGTGATATGTGGTGTGTGTGTGTGTGAGAGAGAGAGAGAGAGAGAGAGAGAGAGAGTGTGTGTGTGAGTGTTAGAGTGTGTGTGTGTGTGTGAGACGCCCTCTGGTGTTCAGAGTGATATGTGGTGTGTGTGTGAGACGCCCTCTGGTGTTGAGTGATATGTGGTGTGTGTGTGTGTGTGACGCCCTCTGGTGTTCAGAGTGATATGTGGTGTGTGTGTGTGTGTGAGACGCCCTCTGGTGTTGAGAGTGATATGTGGTGTGTGTGTGTGTGACGCCCTCTGGTGTTCAGAGTGATATGTGGTGTGTGTGTGAGACGGCCTCTGGTGTTCAGAGTGATATGTGGTGTGTGTGTGTGTGTGACGCCCTCTGGTGTTCAGAGTGATATGTGGTGTGTGTGTGTGTGTGACGCCCTCTGGTGTTCAGAGTGATATGTGGTGTGTGTGTGTGTGACGCCCTCTGGTGTTCAGAGTGATATGTGGTGTGTGTGTGTGTGTGTGACGCCCTCTGGTGTTCAGAGTGATATGTGGTGTGTGTGTGTGTGTGTGTGTGTGAGACGCCCTCTGGTGTTGAGAGTGATATGTGGTGTGTGTGTGTGTGTGACGCCCTCTGGTGTTCAGAGTGATATGTGGTGTGTGTGTGAGACGCCCTCTGGTGTTCAGAGTGATATGTGGTGTGTGTGTGAGACGCCCTCTGGTGTTGAGTGATATGTGGTGTGTGTGTGTGTGACGCCCTCTGGTGTTCAGAGTGATATGTGGTGTGTGTGTGTGTGTGTGTGAGACGGCCTCTGGTGTTGAGAGTGATATGTGGTGTGTGTGACGCCCTCTGGTGTTCAGAGTGATATGTGGTGTGTGTGTGTGTGTGACGCCCTCAGGTGTTCAGAGTGATATATGGTGTGTGTGTGTGTGTGTGAGGCGCCCTCTGGTGTTCAGAGTGATATGTGGTGTGTGTGTGTGTGTGAGGCGCCCTCTGGTGTTCAGAGTGATATGTGGTGTGTGTGTGTGTGTGAGGCGCCCTCTGGTGTTCAGAGTGATATGTGGTGTGTGTGTGTGTGTGAGACGCCCTCTGGTGTTCAGAGTGATATGTGGTGTGTGTGTGAGACGCCCTCTGGTGTTCAGAGTGATATGTGGTGTGTGTGTGTGTGTGTGAGACGCCCTCTGGTGTTCAGAGTGATATGTGGTGTGTGTGTGTGAGACGCCCTCTGGTGTTCAGAGTGATATGTGGTGTGTGTGTGTGTGTGTGAGACGCCCTCTGGTGTTCAGAGTGATATGTGGTGTGTGTGTGTGTGTGAGGCGCCCTCTGGTGTTCAGAGTGATATGTGGTGTGTGTGTGAGACGCCCTCTGGTGTTCAGAGTGATATGTGGTGTGTGTGTGTGAGACGCCCTCTGGTGTTCAGAGTGATATGTGGTGTGTGTGTGTGTGAGACGCCCTCTGGTGTTCAGAGTGATATGTGGTGTGTGTGTGTGTGTGTGTGTGTGTGTGTGTGTGTGTGTGTGTGTGTGTGTGAGACGCCCTCTGGTGTTCAGAGTGATATGTGGTGTGTGTGACGCCCTCTGGTGTTCAGAGTGATATGTGGTGTGTGTGTGTGAGACGCCCTCTGGTGTTCAGAGTGATATGTGGTGTGTGTGTGTGTGTGAGACGCCCTCTGGTGTTCAGAGTGATATGTGGTGTGTGTGTGTGTGTGAGACGCCCTCTGGTGTTCAGAGTGATATGTGGTGTGTGTGTGTGTGTGTGAGACGCCCTCTGGTGTTCAGAGTGATATGTGGTGTGTGTGTGTGAGACGCCCTCAGGTGTTCAGAGTGATATGTGGTGTGTGTGTGTGTGTGTGACGCCCTCTGGTGTTCAGAGTGATATGTGGTGTGTGTGTGTGTGTGTGTGAGACGCCCTCTGGTGTTCAGAGTGATATGTGGTGTGTGTGTGTGTGTGTGTGTGAGACGCCCTCTGGTGTTCAGAGTGATATGTGGTGTGTGTGTGTGTGTGAGACGCCCTCTGGTGTTCAGATATAGCAACGTTTACTACCGATCAGCCGCTGCACTGACAAACTGCGCATAAAATAATCACAGCCTTTGCCAGCCCTAAGGTGTGGGATGTCTCTGATTGGTCGAATGCCGTGTGGTTCCGGGATCTGATTGGTCGCTCACCTTGCTCTGGTTGCCGCCGCTCTCGCGGGCTCGGCGGGGAGGTTTCCACGATCGCTCCTTCGTTACGGTGTTGATGTAATAACAGCGTCCGGTCCCGGGGTCTCGGTACTGATCCCAGAGCTGCACCGACTGGAGGGGCCGTTGCCCCGGCGACGGCTTCGGAGGCTCCGCCCACTGCCTTCTCCCCGCCTCCGACAGGGAACTCTGGGAAATGTAGGCCGATGATGAGAGCTAAGGAGAGGAGACATTAGAGGGATTACAAAGAAATATGGCACATATTACGCGGAAAATGCAGCACTTGTGTTACGCTATAAATTGCATTTTAACTAGTGTTATTTCAGTTTTATTTATATGTCATTATAGTATTTATTAATATTTTTAATATTTTTTTTTATATTCTCAGTTTTCATTTTAGTTTTAGTTTTAATAATTTTATGTACTTATGTCCTTTTTAGTTATATATGTATATATATATTATATATATATATATATCTTTAATTTTATTTCAGTTTGAGTTTTCAGCGATTTTAGTACTTAAAAATTAGAAATTAGTAAACTGAAATATTTAATATTTTATTTCAGCTTTTCAATTACAAACGGTTTTTAAAAATTAAAAGTAAAGTAAGATTTTCTCAGTTTTCTTAGTTTGAATAATTTTTATACTCTTAATTTATTTACACATTTCTAATTTCAAATTTTCATTCGTTTATTTAATATTTGAATTTATTTTAGTTTTTTTTTTTAAATTACCAACAACGATTTTTAAAAGTTAAAAGTTTCAGGTTTCGTTATTTCAGTTTTACCTTTAAAGTAAAGTAACACAAATCAGATATCAGAAAATAGAAAATAACAAAGTTGAAGTTTTCATCTAATACTTTAATTCCGCTTTGTCAATTATACCGCAAACTATTTTTAAAAGTCTTAACAATAACAACACTAGTTGCTAACACAACAATGCATGAAATAAACTTCACAGAGGAAGTTAAACCTTAATCACATGTTTTGAAATGTGTTCAAAAACGAATTATTGCTGATCTTTTAGGTGAATGCAACCATGATTTCTAATGCGTGTGTGTTTAATGTGTGTATGTGAGACTAATTAGTGCATGTGCAAGATTATCCCGGTTTAAAAGTGTACGGAGGTGAACTTCAGAGTACATGATGGGATACAATAGAGTCGTGTGTGTGTGTGTGTGTGTTAGTGTGTGTGTGTTAGTGTGGTTATAGACGTACACTTCACTAAGTAAGAAAACAGCTTGAAGCCACAACCGTCAAGAGGAAGTGGCCTAAAACACAGACACACACACGACTATATGAACAATACAGAGAAGGAACATAAACCATTAGAAGCCACCGAACAATAAATCAGGGCTAAATGTAAAAGGTTCGCCGATGTCATTCATGCACTTTAGTCCAGACGAGGTTTG